TCTCACGGCAAATCCATTTTAAAACAAGGAGCATTATGGAGATCAGAGAAATGACGTGTGTATGGTTGAAACTTAAAGGTTAAAAAAAAGAGATAATGTGTGTTTTTAACGTTGTATTACGTCTGCGAGTGATCATTGTAGTAACACGATTCAAATATAAGCTTATGTACTGGATAGGATTTCTTTATACAACATCAGAGAGGTACTCTATTTAAAATGACGTCAAAATATCACCATTTTTTCAATGATATGCGTTGCATGTCAGTAGGAGTTGGCGCCAGCGTATGGAATGTCCATTTACATTCTTGAGATGATATGTTGTAATCTGCACTATCAAATATTGTAGTCATGTGTGTAAATAAAAGAGGTCTTCAGGTATACATTCCATGATAAAGGGTCTACAATATCTTATATATGGGGACGTTTTATGTCAAACAAAAATAGTGCAAAGAAATAAACACAATTTCAGTTGCAAATCAGAACAAATTTACCGAAAAATAATATTTTAATGAAATCATATTTCCATCATTCATTTATGGTCGTTTATACTGAATATTAGAGCTCGGTATAACAGTGCATTTAATGGTCTTACTGTCGTGTCGTATCCTGCATAGTTTACCAAAGGTGGTGTTTGCTTTGTCAAATAAGAAAAAAACATTTCGAATAATCCAATCAAAGTTGATCATCGATCATATGGTCGTACTGTGACAATATCTTTTTGAGAAGTGGAATGTTCCAAAGAGCTTTTGGCCAATCTTAAACTCGCTCTTATAAACGTGAATTTTCCATTTCAGGATAGCAACATCACAATTTTCGTGGCTGTATACCTTGTTCCCACATTTGAGAACGTGACATTACAAACTTAGAGTGGCCAATATTTACATGGCGGGTGTGGTAGAAGAAGCATAAGACGCTTTTTATTTCGGAACACCTGGTCTTATTCTGTTTATGTATTCCAGGAATCTCTGTGTAGATTTTTTCTATTGTTCATATTTTGCCCTAGTTTTCTTGAATCTGAGTTGGATTTTGATCATGTTGACATGTTGGGATTTTTCGGTTGTTTCTTGTATCAGAACATTCAATTTTAATTAATTGGAGTCTGAATTAACACATGTCGGCATTGTTATTCTTGAGGTGAGAGTTGCTCTATGATTCCAATCTTAAAGGGACCAAATTGTTAGATTTCATTATTTTTTTCCATGTGGTTTGATTTCGGGCAAGCATTGTAATACTTAAAATTAGACTCTTCACAAAAATCTCCGAGAGAAATTGATAAGGAATATCATCTTCATTCTAACGCTATCCACCACCCATTGCTGTTTTGATCGGAGATAGTCGAGTTCATCACGTGACCTTTCGGAACCCCGTTTTAGGCCGCCGTTTTGTTATGATTTCTTACTATGTGTAATTATGTAAATAGCCAAAACTTAATTTGCCAGCCATATTTCAATTCTTACTTGGTAAAATATGCGTGCCAGAGCGAAATAAATTAATTAGAATCTAAAATTGATGTTAATAAAATGGTTATACAAAGTATTATAGGATATTTAAACGTTATAATGTTTTTTATCAAATATGAAATTAATATCTAATCATTTATTCCCATTAATTGCAAAGACCAAACCAACAAGACACAGCAATTAAACTCCAGGATAGACTTCTGAACAAACAATTAGTTCTTCATCTGTTGCATCTTATCTCTTTAAGCACCATGGTAGTCATTCATTTTCTCCATGTGAAACTTATACAAGTTCCAGACAATGTTTTACTTTCGATTTCTTCAAATCAGTGGAAACTAGCCCAACAAACATCTGTTATATCTAACCACAGTATTAGGTATATATATATATATATATATATCACTATTCATATTTACTACAGAAACTACTGGTGGAAGATATCTTACACTATTTCATATGTTCTAGCTTAATTGCAGACCCCTCGTTGACCACACTTCATAGTCTGAATCCTAACATTAAACGTATGAGTAGTCTCCCTTTCCAGTGATTAATATCGGTAGCTAATACAGAAATAAATTTGATTAAATTAATGAAACTGCTGTCGGTTTAGATATTTATTTCACGTGACTATTAACAATAATGACAAATCAATATGTTAAAAAAAATATGGATATTGTCTGATGATCAACGAGTGCAAAAGTCAATATGTGTATGCAAACTATAGTCCAGAGGCGTTGTTATAAATATTTTGATTTAAATATTTAGATTTGTATAATTGATATGGTCAACATCGGGGCTGAAGCAAGGTCAAGCTGCAGGAAAGGTCAAGAAGTACGTTTATTTCACAATCCACAGACGATAAACAGTACCAAGTGCTCAGAATGTACAAACAGGAAAAACCAGCCGAGTTTCCTGACGTCAACTTGCACGAATACTTGGCTGGCCCAACAGACGTAAATAACTATAGCCTAGTGCTCCAGAGACACTTTCTGTCCAAAACATAAGTGTCTTTTAGTTTTTGGAATAGATTGTCAATGTACCAGAGATGTCAGTTGTGTAATACTACGTTCTATAGTTTTAAGAGTGAACACCTGTCAACTGTACCGGGTGGTCCCACAAACGACCGTGTTTTTGTGATGGAAAGATACCATTCTGTCAACTCATATTATTGTATGTAGTGCTAGGCATCTGTATAGGTCATGTATCTTATATAATGAACACTTGTTCGCACTCATGGACGCGCGTAAGAGAAAGCACCAGACTGTAGACAGTTGATGGGTGAAGGTTTCGGCCACGTGTCTATCAGGCCGAATAGATCGTGCTACTTTTAATTCTACCAAAAATTAATAAATAACAATACTTTGTCAAAAATAGCAGATCCTTATCATCATAGACCTTAATTTTTTATTCGAATAATACATTCAACACTTGGAGATACGGGTAATTGTCGAACAGTAATGTTTGCTCATATCGATCATGTCACCTATTACGATCCTGTCGCCTTTTCCGATCCTATCGCCTATTACTATCCTATTGCCCATAGCCATCCTGTCGTCTATACCGACCATATCGCCTAGTACTGTCCTATTGCCCATAGCCATCTGTCGTCTATACCGATCCTATCGCCTATCACTGTCCTATTGCCCATAGCCATCCTGTCGTCTATACCGACCATATCGCCTAGTACTGTCCTATTGCCTATAGCCATCTGTCGTCTATACCGATCCTATCGCCTAATACTGTCCTATTGCCCATAGTCATCCTGTCGTCTATACCGATCCTATCGCCTATTACTGTCCTATTGCCCATAGTCGTCCTGTCGTCTATACCGATCCTATCGCCTAATACTGTCCTATTGCCCATAGCCATTCTGTCGTCTTTACCGATCCTATCGCCTATCACTGTCCTATTGCCCATAGCCATCCTGTCGTCTATACCGACCATATCGCCTATTACTGTCCTATTGCCGATATCCATTCTGTCGTCTATACCGATCCTATCGCCTATCACTGTCCTATTGCCCATAGCCATCTGTCGTCTATACCGATCCTATCGCCTAATACTGTCCTATTGCCCATAACCATCCTATCGTCTATACCGATCCTATAGCCTATTACTATCCTATTGCCCATAGCCATCCTATCGTCTCTACCGATCCTATCGCCTATTACTGTCCTATTGCCCATAGCTATCCTGTCGTCTACACCGATCATATCGCCTTTTACTGTCCTATTGCCTAAAGCCATCCTGTTGTCTACACCGATCCTTTCGTTCATGTCCTCTGCTAATACCCTGCTGCCTATTAGGATCCTCGCACTTTTAAAGATCCTGTCGTCTGTTATGCTAATTTGTGTCATGTTATATGCTATAGAAAAGTGTCAACAATTCTGGTTACTAGGCACAAATAGGCATATTTATTCCAGTTTGTGCGCTGAAACAATCGTGTTGACGTCGTGTGACAACGTTTGTTATTCACATTTTCAAAAGTTATTTATAATTCAAAGGCTTGTTCTATCTTAGACATTGTTGTTTCATGATATGAAACCATGATTTCGTCCCTCACATAGTATCATTAACATTCAGATTATTTGAAAGCAAGAATTAGAAATGACGTCATATACAAAGAAACAGGGATGATATGAAACAACATCAGAATGAATAGAATCGGTAGATGACGAAATACCTTTAAACTATTCATTTCGATTTTTTTAGTATCAATGAAATCATGAATGTAACACATGTATGTAAATATTGTTCAAAATGTTTAAAGCTTGACTGTATGACCTCTAAATAGAAAACATACCAGTACTTGTGGCTTTACTTAACCCTTAAATGATCGGCAACATCATTTTATAGGTTAAGATATTTTCCAAAGTATACTTAAGCCTCTATCATTTATACAACGATCGTAATGATGGCACCCGTGTTATTCGCCTGATGACTACTTACCTTGTAAACGCTAACACTAGCTATGTACATAGTACACACAGGTGAACACCGACCGTTTTGTTCCATTACAGCCATGAAATAACAATAAAAGAGTGCATTTTAGATAGATTTCAAAATAATGTAGTATTATAGCATTGTTGTGTAATAAACGTTTGGTTTTATTTTAAGAATATGCGAGTCCGTATGCCAGACTGATATCAGAGGCACGGTCAGCTTGCGTACCCACCGGCACTCTGCACTCAATAACACCACTGCGCCGACTGTACCTGTGTAGTACAGAATTGTCGGACGTAATCAGTTGTATATATAATGGAATAGACAATACCAGTTAATAAACATGTGCAATAGTTACAACTGTTCGCGATAAGATATACTTAAGAGACGGTGTAAAGGTTAATTTCGTACGCCCATATGCACTCCCCGCCATTTGATCAATTCTGTATGACAGCAATCTACTGTCGCTGGCGGTAGTGAGATTCTCTCCAATACTACATCATACTGGTGACGTTAGCAGTAGGGAGATGTATCCGAACGCCTGACTAGACCGCTGCTGTGGCTGAGTAATCAATGTGTCGGGTCTGTTGATTGGTCGCTGTGTATATAAAAGCCGCGCGGTTTTATAGTGAGATCAATAACATTTAGAGCGGAGCTAGTGAAAACAAGGGTTACTACAATCTTCAGTACTTACTAACAACGATGACTACTGATACTATTGAGGAGGAAGCGACACAAAGTGAAGGGATTTTGGAAAACTCTTCACAAAAACCTGTCGACATACTTTTCCCAGAAATTGCAGCTTTCAAAAGACAAATGTTGGATTTCGAGAGAGGAGCGATGTCAGCTCCTAATTCAAGATCAACGTCCTTTAAAAATCGGCCGAGGCCGAAGGGACTTCGGTTCAAGCTTGAGGAGCCAAGGAGAAACAGTTTACCAGTAGGATCCGATGACGTTCTAGCCCAATGCATGTCCTACACGGATATCCGTGATTCTGACGAAACAATTGAGAGGGTACGATCGTTTAAAATGACATCAAAAGGAATAGAAAACAGAGGTGATTCTTTCAGAAGAAAGAGTAACGGCAGTATTGCATCTTCTGGATCTGCTAAAATCACTGACCATGACCAAAGGTGCGATCGCAAACGACAAAGAATCCCTAGTGACACATCTGATGGAAGCACGACTGGGTGCAGCTGTGCTTCGTCGTCCAGTTCAGGTTACTACAGAGTACTGGTCATCGGGGACAATGGAGTTGGCAAGAGCGCCCTTACAAATCAGTTCATGACATCGGAGTACATGGTCAACCTTGACATAGCAACAGGTAAGTTTTTTTAATTATTCCCAACAAGTTCAATTTATTTTCATATTTGTTATGGTTTTTAATAATTTCAAATGAAAAAAACAATTAAAATTTATTTATTGTTGTAAATTATTCCAAGAAGAAATTCTAAACTAAAATATCATTGACATGCATGTCTTGAAAAGATAATTAGCTTACACATTTGGTAAATGTAGCAAAACATCCAATCACTTGTAGATAACCGCCAACTCGCTATCAGATATGAAAATGACCTACTTTTTTTCGCCTTCTAAATCTTCAGTTAAATTTCAGTGCCATTTCTGAATTCAATGTATCCTAGCAATTCAAGTTAAAATCTATTTATAAACAAATGGTAAAATGGCAGAGGACGTTAAGTGTGAGGGCTTTAGATATTCAATTAAGATATCTTGTTCTGGCACGTCATACTTATAAGTGTTGTATTAAAGTGTTATGAAATTGTCTGGCTGCTTTAAAAATAATCCTGATGTTACTATCGACGAAAGTAAGGGCCTTGCTTGTGTATATGGGTGATATTCGAGGATTGGATAACGACTCAATCATTGTTATTTTAAATAAATGAGATAAACGTATTTTTTTTATACTAACTACTTTTAACTGTTAATTAACAACTATTATGATTGACTTGTGTCGATAACGGACTTAATTGCATTGCAGATGACTTTGACAGCAGTGGCACAGTATCTGTATTACTAGAGGGAGAAGAGTCCACACTGGAATTCATCGACTCAGATGACGTTGACCAGGTCAGTACATATTTCTAAATTCTATATAAAATGTTCAAAAACAAACTGTGAATATTTGTTTCATGATTTTTTTATCATAAACCATGCAGTAATATCTTTTAATAAACTATTCATATTTATCATTAAGTGGAATCATTGCTAAGGTATTTGGGTAATACTATTACCGTGTACACATAATTGCATGATAATGATGAGTATTCCCAATAAATCGTAGGTACATACCTCACGTGCATAAGCAGGAACTCTCTAGTAGGTATTGCCATCACACATATCTTGTCTTTTTAATGGGATTATATACATGCCAATCATGTAGTATGAACTCTCTTCTTAATACTAATGTTGCGATGGTAACAGAACATTCCTGACGTCCACTACCTTCATCTAATGAAAATCGTAACTAGCTAACACTATTGCCTGGAGCCTAGTGGTAGCAGTTACCAAACCACACATACAGCAAATATGTTTGTCACACTGAGTAATATACATTGGTATGTAATTTCCTACACAATTAACACGTATCATGATGAAAGCAACATAGATCTTTAAAAAGAGAGCGTCTAAAAATAGCATATGATAACAAAATCTTGGCAGAAAAATGGCAATTATTCGCAATAACATCTGGTGCTACTAGGCTGAGTGAAAGGATGCAATGAATGAGAGCCACTTACGATGACAATACGCTGTCAATATGACTCAGAAAGCTCATGACGACATCTGCCTCAGATGGTGCCAAAAATAAACACACACAAAAAATACGCGATCAATGTGCGTGCTGTTTTGCTTAACTTTCGCCATGGCTACGCAATGACTCAGCCCAAAATAGATTACAATTGCTATTTTTAGTAATCGATAAATTACTCATAGTGGGAACTGCATGCCATTTCATCATCCTATAAAGATTAAAATCTTACACAGTAGGAAATATATATAAATTAAGTTTATAACAAAGAATAAAATAAAGATTAAAAGAATAAATAAAGAATTAAGGACGTCACATGTCATTTAAAAAGTAGAAATAACAGCATACATGTCTACATTATAACTAATGATTGTTCAACTCATATTGTCATACAAGATAAAATCTTTTATATAAAACATATTAATATTCTAAATTTGTTATTCTTTTTATTCTACAGGATGATCAGGGAAATCTGAACTTTGACGCATATCTTGCTGTGTTCTCAGTCGACAACCGGGCGTCCTTCGACACCGCTGTCGACATGCTGAATCACATACGGGACATACATGGAATGGATAGGGCAATTATCTTAGTGGCTAATAAAATTGATCTTGTCAGGAGGCGAATGGTCAGCTCAGAAGGTAAGCTTTATGATCGAGCTTTTGTTTTCATATATATATATATATTTTTATGGAGCTGAAGCACTTCTCGTTCAGATTTTACTTTAAAACACTTTGAGTTATCCTAAGTCGCATCCTAGGCTTCAGAATGTAGGCCGAAATGAAGGGCGAAAAAAGTGTATGATTAAGTTTAATTCTTTGTTTGGTTCTACTTATCTAAGTATAAATTTATATCAAAAAGTGTTATTCACTTATGTATAATCTTCCAACGCACACGTTTATAAAATACTGATATAGAAAATTAAATAAAAAATATAGATATTAGAAAAATTATCAATTACAAGCATATTCCAAAAGTTATGTAGATTAACCTTCAAATGATATAGATGATGTTTGATATAGATCCTATCGAAATCAATTAGTCACAGAATTTACAGCGAAACGTTTTCGTATTGACGACAATGTTATGATATTATGACATTTCATTCATTAAACGTAGTGTAAGATCAATATTTTATGAATGAATCAGTTTCATCACCTGGCGATATTGTACATATGTCACAACAACAGACCTCGAGTGAAATCAAGTACAAAATTAGCTAGCTTAATTTGTAAAATTGATATAGAAATAGTCACTGAATTTTGATATATCACAGTAATAGTGTAGTTTTAACATCAATTGTATATGAACACAATTTAATTTTTTCAAAAGCTTTGAAGACAATTGTATGTATTGGAACACACAATTGTTATAAAGTAACAGAGCTTTGATCTACGCAAACTTATTCCCAATGTAAATTGCAGTGTGAGCCCTCATATTGATCTTAAAACGTTTAACCAGTACCAATCCATTACATTTCATGCTAGGTGTATATAGAGTCATTGTCTGTTTTACATCATGTTGTTTCGTATTTAAAAAACGGGAGAGATTTTTAAAAGAAAAAATCACGGCCTTTTTACAAATAGAATGGTTCATTTCCTGTCCTAACATGGCCTTTGTCATTGTTCAACATCACAAATATTTGTTTGGTACTGTAACTAAGAACTATTCTATCATCAAACGTTATATTCATTTGTGTTTTAAAGTTTCTCATTAAGGCATCGATTTCATATAATGTGTATGTAACATGGCGAAAGCATAAGGCATCACCTGTTTTGGCATTCATTAAACTTTTTAATATTTAAAATGACGAAATACATTTAATATTTGAAGAGGGCACATTATTTACAATATCTTTGCATTTTTGTATTTGCAGAAGCAAAAAGAATGGCTGAGCACTTCCATAGTAAATATGCCGAGACGTCTGTCACCCTCAATCACAATGTCGATGAATTACTGGTTGGAGTGTTACGTCAGATCCGTCTTAAACTTGATCATGAAGCTGTCGATAAAACAGAAGGCTCAACATCAGAAGTTCAAGGACGCAGAAAATCTAAAGGTGCTCGCGGACTTTTGAGTCGATTGTTCCGCAAATCTTCAAAACAAAGCAGTTCCTGTGAGGACTTGTATGACTTGTGAAAATGTGCGAAATGACAGACACTGTTTACAAACTGTGAGAGAGTTACGGATGCATTGAGTGATAATCAGCATTAACGACCTTGTTTACGAAATGCTAGGACTTGCCAGTCTGAAGAAATTATCCAAACTTCGTCCATATAAAAGGTTTAAAAGACAATGTCTGATGGTGCGAGTTTTGACAATTATATTAACCATATGTGCCAAAGTCTTTATGTTTCAATCAATTATACACAGATATGTACATATCTTCCTTTTTTTCTAGTATTGTACATTAGTATATGTGTTTTCCCGAACTATTCTTTATATCCTTAGCTGATGTAAAATATCCAATATTCATAATATAGAAACAGACAGAAATGTTACATATTTCATTATCTGGTCAGTCAGGGGTTAATTTTGTATCGCAGGATACGTAACCCATAATTATAGAATACAAAGATACTATTATCCTTCATTATCAATTTGTATTTTTCATTTTAAAGTTAGATTTTCTAAATATTTATTAGGTCGCCCTTTGATTGATATTTCAATTCAAATATAAACAAATGTTACATTCCATTCACTCTTGTCCTCGTGTTGTACATTAATTTAATTTTGCTTCATATTTCAATTAAGACTTAAGTTTCATAAATATTTTTGTTTTGGTTCAAGGTTTACTTTTGATGTGATGAAGAACAATGAAACACTTCTATGTGTTCTCTTTCTTCTTGTTGAAGAACAAAAAAAGTTTCCCTATGACGTTCAAAAAGTAGTCTGTTGTAGTATATAATATCATATTATATAATTATTTATATTATATAATGATTTAGATTATGATGTCATATCCCTCGTATAATCCACAGATATTATACTTATTACATCTTAATTATGTTTTTCTTATTATAACCCGAATCTTTCCTTATTTAAATGTGTTTGTTTTAATATTACGTGTATACATTAACGAATGATTACTGTCATTCCAGAATTTTTTGTATGTCAAGGTGTATATATATATATGTACATTGCAACGAGTTTGTAAAGATCCAAATAAAATGTGATATTTGTATACTTTTGTTTGTACTTCATTGCTACTTTTTTATCCTACTGTCGAATTTAGTTGATTTTACGAAAGACACACAAGTGAATTGCACCTTTAAATACAAATTTAGAGTTGGATACAGTAGAGCCAAAGAGTGTACAAAAGACTTATATACAGTAGAGTAAAACAAAACTACATCATACAGCTACTTTGTCCTTCGAGAATTCGTCAGTGATGCTAAGTGCCTAAATGTTGAAGTCCAGGAGGCGACAGAGGAAATCCTGAAGTGATCGAATGAAAATTAAGAACCCAGATGGGGTTGGGGTTGGGGGGGGGGGGGGGGGGGGTTGCAGTTTCATCATTATTCAATGTATTTCGAAATTTACATATATCTTACTTTTTAGAACAAAGTCAAGTACATGTTAATGTGCTTAACAAGATTATTAAGTCATTAAATTATAAGACTGAAAATGACATCTGATAAATCCACTCTACTTTATTGAGATTGTTATCTAACTGCAAATAGCACGTTAACGCATCTTATCTCAGATATTGAACAAATGTTGAAATAAAGATATGTACTAAATAAATGAGTTAATCTGAAGCATAGAAACAAAAACATCATGGATGGTGAAATACTCAGATCTAATGCAGTATCTGGATATACTTTTCTCTGATTCAGATTTTTTAAAAAGACACACACATGGACAACCCATTTTCTATGAAAATTAAGAGTTATCGTCATCTCGTCACACTACAATCCGCGTAAGATTGTACTACGGCCGAAACGTCCGTTGATTTTATTAATGTCTCGTACACTCCATAACTTAACAATGCATATACCACTCAGGCAAGTTATTTATCTGTTGGAGTGATGGTCTGGTTCCACATTATTGTCTAACTGGTTTTGGTATAAAACCATATTAAAGATTAACACATGTTCCATTCTCTTAAGTTAATTTGGTGATGTCGTGATTGTTATTTAAGTACGCGACATTACTAGAAAAAATGGCGGTATCGTTGAACACCTGGTATTATCCTCCTTAAAGAGATTGTAGAGATTGTAGTAAAACTTAATACATCGACTGGCATTATCTGACTTTACAAATACCAAGAAAAAGCAAAATTAGAACAAAAGAAAGATTTACACGGATTCTCTTGAAAAAAAGTAAAAGGAAATTAACTCCAGGTGTTCCGGAAGAGTAAGCGTCTTCTGCTCCATGCCGGCCATGTAAATCTTGGCCAATCCAAGTAAGTAATGTCACATTCACAAACGAGAACAAGGTATACAACAATGGAACCAACAGGAAAACTAACATGAAACACGTCGTTTGATATCGTACAGAAAAAAATGTTTCTCACTGAAATCGTTTTGATGACCATAAAACCCATTATTTTAATCAACCTGCATTTTTTGAAATCCTTTGTTACGAGTTCTTCCGTCAGTTGATATTGGAAACAATCAACTGCGACATGTAAGCACCAGAGGTTCAGGATGCACGGATGTTTTTTATTCAAAAAAAAAAAAGGAAAATTCACACACGGGAAATTGATATTATCTTGCTTATCATACATCGTCGTGCAAAGCTGTCAATGTTGGTTTCGTTGTTGAAAAAAATCGAGATAAGCGACTGCATAGAAGAGTGTGTTGTGTCCTTGATATCCAATTTTAATGGGTATATACGATGTAAGTGGTAAATAAATCTCTTCTTATTTGAAAACAAGACGTCACCAATAAACCTGAAATTGAAATTGAACGACTATGCCAGAACATTGTGACCTGATTTGATAAGGTCCCGGATAAATTAAACCTCGTATGAAAACCAGAAAAGGCAGCTATCAGCGCGGCACAGTTAATTCACATCGGTATGTCTGTCGGAAGATCTTGTGTCTTATTTACTCAAGGTGTATTCTCTATAATCCCTTATGCTTTATATTCTTATCTAATTGCTGAATTTCTTATAGCAACTATGATCAATGTTAATGTAAGACACATCAAGTGTCTGGGAGTATTGTACGGTTATGAATATAGATATGTCTACATATATTTTTGAGATGTGTGTAAACCTCCTCGTTTATGTTCTAAGACGACATTTATCTTGATAAAAATTTGATATCCTTGATCGATTTTTTCTAGACTGTAATATCAGAGGCCTCTAGCGTAAAGTTATTTGTGTTTTGAAAATGTTTGTTATCTGTTTAGGTGGAGTAATTCATTTACGCTAAGTTGATATATTTTATTACAATTACAGGGACGATTTATGGTCGTCATAGCGATCTCATTGAGAAATATTTCTTTGCGCGGTATGAAGCTATACGTGATTGAAGCTCATTAGTCTGCCTCTTGGTTCAGTTGTTGTATACCTTGCTCTCAATTGAGAACGTGGCATTACTTGCTAAGACTGACCAAGGTTTACATGGCGGGTGTCGTCGATGAAGCATAATGCACTTACTCTTCCGGAACACCTGGTCTTACTGGTTATATTATGGTGGCTGCGTTTTCCTTCAACTAAGTTTTATATATCACTGTCATCAATGTGTCTCAAAGTGACAGAAAATCTTTCAAAATTTACAACGGTAAATATATACCATAATCACAGAAACCAAAACAATGGAGTGTTTATCGGCCGAGTGACGTGGATTTCATGTTAATCATTCATTGTCACACGTTAAGTTAAATAAACATCAAAACCGAATGGTATCACTTTTGTTCCATACATAGATTCAACTAATCACAAATACTTTGCACCTGTTTGGCTAGAAATTCACATGAGACTGTTGTGGAACAAAAATTAATCATAGTCGACCTTGTAATGACCACTGTCAATTTCAATGTAAACAACGCGTTAATATCATCGGAACTGAGCGTCAGCCAGTAATTGATGGTAATAGTGATTAATGGCAAATTTGTATGTAGTTCGGACAGGGATTGATTTATATATATAAAAAAACTGTTGATGATGAAAATGATATAAGAAAGACATGATTTATTCGATTTGAATTACAAACTAAAAATATAATTATAAAATCTAGGAAAATAGAATTTTCACCATTTTAATTTTGGCTTGGGAGTGTAATGTTATTATTCTGAGATTATGTTTTAATTTTTTGAATTTTAAGATATATGTTCATCACATAATTGACATGTTTTGTAACCAATCTTATATTTTTTGTTTATGCCATGTACGTTTGTAAGTGCCGAGAAAAGATTTTAAATATGAAAAAGAAACCGTTATACATTTGAATGGATTACCATGGAAGAAGACTATCAAATGAGCCCTAGTGTTCAATTAACTAAGCTTGAACCGTCTTATTTAAATCTCTAGAGACACAAGCAACAACAATAAAATTCTAGCGTCTCCATCTACACCTCCGTACATAATAGGAGCGGCTGTTTTCGAAAAAGGCTTGCTATCAACTTTTAGGTGTAAATGGTATTGAAATAAATCACTTTTGTTATTATTTATGAAATTAATGGATCAGAGAAATAAATAGGTTGTTGGCCAAAACACACGGACTTCCAAAACATTCTTTTCCCAAGAACTGCCTTTGTCAAATGCTGAATAAGATTTTAAGAATGATGCACCTTCCAAACATTGGAATCTTGTCTTGTAGCTTGTTAAGTGAAACCCTACACACTTTATGTACTAACCTTAATATCGACTTTAACTCTGTGATGTAGTGGTTAGACAGCGGCAATGACAGCATCGGATTGTAAGAGGCTTATTGCTCTCCCGGGGGTCGTGTTCCGGTTTTAGAACAAAAATCGTTTATTTTACCTTGAGATCGCCTGGTATTGTCGCGTTCGCCCATCCTGGATACGACGGCTTCTGATACTTGTGGGATCTCTTAATATATCCTTCAATATCAGTCCAACGAATGCCGGAAATTCAAATATCAAGCTATGTTAAGCACACACATGAATTTCCTTTTCGGAAATAATGTCATCTTCAAAAACACATTATCTTACTCTTCACATACAGTTATTCTATAACCAAAAATTTCTTGTTGTTTAGGAGAATGTTTTTTCAATACCGTTATCAATATTGACAGAAACTTATTAAGTCTTGATATTTCATTTGAATGCATAATGTAACATTTCGTTGTAGGTAAATATATTCTTATTACAATATATCTCTTTCAAAGAAATAGCATTTTCATTATCAAAATTCTACTAGTAAGATCACTGCAACAACCATTTACCAGATCAACACATAGAACGAGTGGGAATGAAAGATATTGATTCAAAAAGACAAAAGAGAAACAAACAGAAAACTATTCAGACCATCAAAAGTTCTAAACTGACATTACACACTCCGGAAATGAAATAATTAAAACAGTATATTTATGTACAAATATGTTTTATTCCTTTATTTTCGGATAGCATTACAGCATTGACGGAATTTTACTATTAATTAATTAAAGCATTATTATTATTATAAGACCGTGTTTCAAATGGTAACATATCCTTAATTTTTTTCTATTGATTAAATCAAAACGGGACCCACCTCGACACCCTTTATACTGGTTTTTCCCGTTTGGAAATGTCTGCCCCGTATACATAGGTCAATTAAACACCATATGGATCCTAATATATTGAAGTAGCAAGGTTATTGGTATGTTATATGTATCGTCATTAATAGACACAATACGTACCATCGATTTTCCTTTGTCTGTTATAATTATTTTAAGCTCTAACCCAGTATCAATCCATGTTTTCGTTTTATATTTGTCTGCTATATATCAAAGGAAAGTTATAAAAATCGTCAATTGTTTTATGATACGAATCATTTCTTGTTCGGTCAATGACCACACTCGTGAAGTCCTAACGCATGTACTCTAGAGGTGAGCAGCCAATTACTTTATTTACCTATTCTTTTGTGTAGATATTGTAGCCATGGAAATGACTTTTACAAACAGCGACGTCGGTGATATTCAAGCAGTCTAACCATACAGATACCATGTGCTTAACTAGTAACAAATGGGCGATCTCTCTGTCTCTCTCCATACTGTTTTTTCTGTATGTT